TGTGTGTGTGTGTGTGTGTGTGTGTGTGTGTGTGTGTGTGTGTGTGTGTGTATGTGTGTGTACGGTGAGAGGTGCATGACAATATAACGCTCGGTGCTCTTCTCGTATTTTGATAATCGTAAATATCGCTGTAAAAGTCTTGCACAGTATTTCTCAACGAAATGGCGCGTATATGAATAATGGTAGTTGATGATACCGGCTGTAACGACATAGTCAGCCACTCCTCACCTCCTCGCTGCACTGCCAACATTCCCCTCTCCTTGATGAAATTGGTAGCGGTCTGCAAACAGAACACATATCGCGTTTACGAGATCGAATTCAGTAAACCTCTGTCGCGTTTCCAACGCCTGTTCGTGCGTGCATGCTCGTTCGTGTGTGCGTGCGTGCGTGCGTGCGTGCGTGCGTGCGTGCGCGCGTGCGTGCGCGTTAATGCATGAGCGTTATTGTGGCGTTACTAACGACGCCGTGGTTATTATAGACGTGTCCATTACAACAAAATCTGATAATTTCGGTCATTGTTTTAATATGATTAATTTGGTCTATTACGCTTAATTGTTTTTAACTGCGTTAGCTTCCGGCGTATCTGCATGTTAGTCGGTGCTTTTATACAATGGCACGTTTGTGTGGGTAATAGAGTATGGGAAATTCGAGCTATGTGCGCGTGTGAGATACGGCTATATAGTATCCACAGTGGCCATGAACGAAGGTGCCCTGTCAGTACGATAGTATACGAGCGTATAAATATCAACCTGCGACCGTTACCATCAAAGTTGTCTCTCGATGCAAACATACAACGGTTATAAAACATCATGAGCCCACCCAGAAGTATAGCTTACACCTAAGCTGACCATCACGCCTATAGCTGCACATAGATTTTTCATAAGCTCACCAAAATGTACGCACGCACGACTGACCATAAAAATACGACCCACGCGAGCAATATGTGTGAAGTTGCAATCGAGCTAAATGCGAAGAGGAAAACCTGCGAAAGGCTGCCAGTTATAAAGTTAACCAAGGAAACCTACTTCTTACTTGATTAGTCCATGGGTTAAGGATTCATCTAACCTTGTTTGCTTGAATACCCGGTAGGCCTCTTCTCCTATCTCATGAGTTCTCAAGAGATCTCTGGTCACATCA